CAGAATGAAAAAAATATCTGGAAAAACAAAACAAAAATCCTTAAAATGCGATTATGTTGTTTTAATATGAATGAATATATATATATTAAAGAAAAACAGACCACTTTAAGGTTCCATTATAATAATTTATTTCACCAAAGCCCTTTCAAAGGATGCCGGATCATCAGATAGCACTTTTGATATCTGATGACACGGCGTCCTTTAAAAGGACACTGGTGAAATAAATTATTATAATGGAACCTTCAAGTTCATCAGCAGGTGCAGAAATAAACAGAGTGATGGGGGAAATTATCCAACGTTAGTTTTTTGAGGTGGGCAGAATCCGCTTGTAGGTGGAATTATTAGAAAAGATGCGTTCCTTTTTTGATTTCTCGCTGTGCGAAACCATGTGACAATAACCTCAGATTGAATTGTTATTGGTGGTGGGCAGAAGGGGAGTGAGGGGAGTTGAACATAAGGAAAAAAAAGGGTTGTAGGACCAAGGTGGGGTGGTATTAGTTTTGTAAGATTTTGCTTTTGTAATTCTTACTAAGCAGACACACACACACACACACACACACACACACATACATATATATATATATATATATATATATATATATATATATATATATATATATATATATGCGTTTAGTTGACACGGGATTTTTTTTTTTATCATTTCACACCTACGTATGGAGAGATGCTTCTGGGACGCAATGGGTTACATGGACGGAAAGACAATGATAAGACTTTAGTGACGAGAAGTGAGGAAAAAGGAACAGGACTCCGGAACACAGAAGAAGGCGAGTAGCGTTGCATTTAAATCTTTGAATATTGGAGCCGTCAGAAAAGCAACAAAGTGGAAGTGTTGTTGCACAAGTGAGAAAAGAAACTGTTAGAATAGAACATACGTTTGCATCTAGCTTGTTCATTAGTAAAACTATAGTAGCTAGTTGCCAATCTAGCAGCATGCTTAAATTCATGCAGTTGAGGCATCAAGGGAGGAAACTCATCAGAATAAATGCCATATAAATATTTGAAGAATAAACTGGCGGAACTATATAGATATATATAAAAAAAACACACACACACACACACATATATATATATATATATATATATATATATATATATATATATATATATATATATATGGAATCTCCCGTCGGTTTCGACGTATGAGGATCTGATAGCTTATTGATTCAGTTATGAAAGTTTGTGCGATAATCTTAAGTGGCATTTAAGACCCGCTAGTGATTTAAAAAGGAGGCCACATATGGAGCAAGTGTGAGGATTGTGAGATGAGATCATTCTTAGATTGGCTGACCTTTTAGATGTTGCTCTCGCTTCTTGAAGATGATTCAGACAAGCAGATTGAAAATTGCTGAGTCCACTAAAACACGTCGATCTCCATTCTACCCGCTCCAAAGCTAAGCGCTCAAGATTGTTATGTCGTATATTGTGTGTCTGTAGTTGACACGGGAGTTTTTTCTTACTATTCCCAAACAAGGCGATAATGACAGTAGGATGCAGGGCGTTAAAACAATGAGATGAGAGATGCAGAAACACAGAATATGGCGATTGGCATTGCATTTAAATTTTTGAAAGTTGAAGGGGTCAGGGAAGCAAACATTATTAAATCCAAATAATCGAGGCACAAGCGAGGAAATGCCATCAGAAAAAGTGACCAAGCAAGGCGACAATGCGAATAGCACGTAGGGCGTTTCAGAGAGTCAAAGCGAAAGAGAAGCTTGAGAATAGGGATGACTAAAGAATTCACAAACGATGAACGGGATTCAAGAATACAGAAGACGGCGATTGACGTTGCATTTAAGTTTTCGAAGATTTTAGTTTTCACGGAAGTCAACGTTATAGGATTTTCATTGGTGGGATATGTAGGAAAACAAACTGTTGTTGCAGATGAGGCTATTTCAACAGTAAAAGGATGGAACTTGATGCAGAATTAGTAGAACGATTAAATTTATGCATTCGGAGCATTAGGAAAAAAATCGTCAGAAACGTTACCATAAAATATATTGGTAGAAATAATAAGAGGATGTCATGTCACGTTGGCAAGAAAGTGACTGAAGTCACTATGGTAGGATATGATCGGTTCCCTTAAGGACACTTTTAAATTTTAAATTTAGCGTAAAATTTCCGTTTTTTCTCAGTGCACATTTTACAGCTTTTTTTTAAATATATTCTTCTACATCTGTAGCCAGGCCACCATGCCTCAAGTCTTAATCTTCTTTGCGTAGACGTTATTCCACAATGAACATCGTCATGTATGCTTTTTTTTTATAATTTTGTTCATTTGCGTTGATGGCTGAACCGCTGCGTCTCCATTAAATGATGCGCCATTTTCGAAGGTCAACTTGTGTTTAACCTCTCTACAACGGCTTTCGTCACGTAAGCAATTATTCCACTTATTATTATTTTTATCCTGAACAATATACTGTCCAATATATGGGATCTCGCTTCGTATCTTCGGCTAACTTGTCTATCGACAGAATATCGGTTTTGACCCAGTATAAGAATGTCTCTTCGTATTTTCCATCCTTTTCCTCACTTTCAGAAGTCATGAACCTCAGCCTCGACAAAGCCTCTACCTACGGAATGGTTCTAGCTTTCACGTACTTGATATCAAATTCAAACTCCATTAACATTAATGCCCATCTTAGAATTCTCTCAGACCTTATGAATTCTAAAAGTCTAGGGTCTGATCTTATTTGGAATTTCTTTCCGATCAAAATCTGTCGAGGTCTATTCAACACCCATATTATGGCAAACGCTTTCTCAATATTTGAATAGTTCAATTCGTCTTTTGACAATTTTCACGAAAGATACATCATAGAATATCCATCCTGAGCTAATAATCACGAAATTTTGCGGTCACTTGAGTCAGTTTGTTACTAGTATTTTCTTTCTAGAAACGAATATTTTTACTACTGCCTTCTTTGCAAGAATAGTTTTTAAATTTTCAAATGCCACTAGTTGTCCTTTTATCCAAATAAGTTCCATTTTCTTTTTTCTCTGAACATCAAAATGTTCAGCCATTTCGGAACATCGCTTTACTTATCTTCTGCAGAAATTCACAAGTTCTAAGAAAGATTCCAATTCTTTTTGTACCTCAAATTTTAATATTTTATCAATTAACTATTTTTTCTAGTGATATGCCTTCGTTAGATATGGAATATCTTCAAAATTATATTTTTTAGCGTTGGGCATAGATTTTTCCGTTCATTTGTAATCCAGCATTTTTTATTTATTCAAAACCATATTGGTTTTCCATTTTAGTTCTTCGTCGTTAATAGCACCAACACAAATGTTATCTCGGTAGCATATTGTATTTAATATATAACTACCAATAACTTGCTCTATAGCCCGTTGAAAAATCGCATTTATCAGTTTTAATTCTATAAGGTTTTCTTTTATTAATAAGCCTATTAATAAGCCTATTGCCGTGTTTATTGTTCTGACTTAAAAGTTTTGTTCAATATGTATTTGATGGTACGCCGAATTAGATTTTAGAGAATGTTTTCGTTCCTGGAAGCGAATTCAAAGTCAATTCTGCAGGTTGGTCTGAAAGTCCTGTCATCTCTACACAAAATAATCTTCTATTTCAAATGGCTGACACGAGCTCCTACAGTTTGGAAGAGAGGTAGCGTAGTGACAAGACTTTCGGACCAAACTGTACATTGGATAGGATATGAGTCTGCACATATTTTGTGGTCTACACCTATTATGTTGTCATAACAACTGCGTTCATCCGTATCCTAAAATTACTAGCTAGGTTGTCCATTGACTTCTCCCTGGCGGAATTCCTTCAAGTAAATCTTGTTCCATTAATCTTTTGGTTTTTCCACAACTATTGATAATAGATAGACTGGCACTATTCGTGTTTGAAAATATGAGAGGGAGATATTTTCATGCGGTTTTAACTTTGCTTCATTTTTTTTTTTCGTTTGTTTTTTTTTAATTCCGGTTCCTTTTAGCTTGAATTTGTTTACTAATTTTGTCGAAATTCTGTCCAATATATCATTTCCAATTAGACCATGTTCTTTTCACAGTTTGGCATGATAATTGGTAATACGTTAAACTTATTTTTTTAGTTTCACGTCGGCTTCAAAATAGTCTAACTGATTCAATTGGACAAGGCTTTTACTTAATCTTGGTTTTCCTAATTTCTTCCAGAGATTTCTGGGTATCAACGTCACTTCAATTCCCGTATCTAGTTGCATGTCCAGTAAAACATTACTGATTCGAGGTTTTAATAACCCTATTTAATTTCCTTTTGTCATTTTGTTAGACTGTTTCTACATTTGTTTTTCTTCTTGGATTTACACATACATCTAAAATGAATAATTTTGAAACACTTTTCACATTTTTATATCCCGGACACATTTGTTTGCCCTTTGATGTTGATATCCACAAAAAGTAAACGTTATTTTATCTTTTTTTTTTCTTTATCGCATATGTGTCCAGATCCGTAACTTGTGTTGTATTAAATTTTCGAATTAATTCCTGTTGCTGAAAAAAATTCGACATACTTTCCCAGTTGCAAATTCATTAGAGTAATTTGCCGATACTCCTCATTTTGAAGGCCCTTTACCAGTTTCATTTGGATCAAATCCGTTTCATTCACTGGTTTTCCTCTCCCAGTTTCTCAAATTCACAATGTTTACCGGCTTGTTTTCAACGAACATACCCGGTAACTGTTTCATTCATTTTTTGAGTAATATTCATATTAGCTCTCTTTTCGTGCATTCACTAATTGTTTTCTTGGTATGTTTTCCCTATTAGTTGAATTAACGTCAAACGTCATTTTCTCCCACACAAGTAGGTGCGCAGTTGCTAATAATTCTATAATGCCCTTACAGCCAACAATTGCCAGGAATAGATAATTTATTAAGATGTCTCAACCAATTGATTATAACTTTTTCAGCCTTTATGTTTTACTGTGACACTGAGGCAATGAGATGGTTAAATGTTTATCCAGAGCAGAAACAGTTACTCACAAAATAGAATATAGGCTGATAGATAGATAGATAGATAGATAGATAGATAGATAGATAGATAGATAGAAATTTTCCTTGGTGAAAATGGGATCGTCTAGATTTTTTCTCTTCTAAAGTTTATTTTTCTTATATACCGTGAGTCTGACCTGGGCGAAAATATATTTGGAGAACAGTTTTAACACTTCTTTGAAAATTTACGTAAGCAAATATATTTTTGTTGATGAAAACAACTTGGGAAATGAAATCAAGGAACGAACCCGCTGTGAGGGTCGAAGGTATGAAAATCGATCCTGTCGTGACAAGCAGGTGATATGGTTTGTGTTTTCGCTGGACGTGAACGGAAAGTTAATGTGACGAGAAAAATTGCCTGGGATAACACACAGGACCAATGCTCCTAGCTGTAGAAATAGCAATTTAAATAATATAATCACCACATTTCATGGCAGTGGAAAAGAGACCCAAGAAGCTGCTCTACTGGAGGTAAAAAAAATTAAATTATACAACATTGCTTCCTTTGATTATGTGTCGCTAGATCTCGCTGTTAAATAAAAACAGTCTTTTTCGATATGCTAAATATAGAGGAAGTTTCGCTTTTATATATTAGTGCTGTTTCCTTCAAACCCACTATGTCGTTATCCACAAACTTAACTGTTTTGCGGTTCTTAATTATCAATATGTTTTTGGATATTAGAATCTTATATCAGTTTTTGTTTTGATTATAAGTTTCACACGTGATGGTCGACGTCTTTCTTTGAACAGGTATGTTGTTAATCTGGTTCATATGTCTTTACAGCTATTCAAAAGAATATTTGGCAATCCTGGTCTAAAACAGACTCCAAATATATGGGGTACCGAGCTGTTGTTATCTTGACTCTCCTGTACGCATATAAGAACTGGGTACTTTACCGAAGAGACGTAAAGCACGAATGCCAGATATCCGCCTACCCAAACAAATCCTCTTCTCGGAAATCGCAACTAGCAAGAGACCACACTGAGTCACGCGTCGTCGATTCAAGGATTAGCTCAAAAATTCTTTGCTGATGACAAAAATCGACCCAGTGAATTGGTGAACGAAATCGTCAAAAACAACGAATTGCAGAATTGTGGTCTACGAAAAACGTACTTTGAAATAGAAAAGAGGAAAAGAGACTAAACAAAATCAAGTGTTCTTCTTGTCTTGAACCCTCCTTCCCTGCCATACGATGCTTGCGGACATCTTGTAAGATCCAAAATAGGACATTTAACACAGAACAAAATGTCGATGAGCATCCACACATTGAACAGGAGTTCCACCAATGACAACGACAGATGTCAAACACTTAGTATAGACAACCTTACAGTTCATGGGGGAATGATTTACAATTCGAACATTTAGTTGTATTAAAAGTTTCCCAGTTTTTCACTACGGTTTGATTAAAATTGAAAAACTATTTTCCACTCAATTTCTATAATAAATCCTGACACTGCAAAAATATATTATCAGTATTTTCGATAAATACTCTACGCAGCAATTCATAGTATGTATGTATTCGGAAAAGCATATATCCACGAATAAATACTGTACGCAGCAATTCATAAAATGTATGTATTCGGAAAAGCTTTATGTACGAATATATACTCTACGCAGCATTTCATAGTATATATGTATTCGGAAAAGCATATATTTACGAATAAATACTGTACGCAGCAATTCAAAGGATATATGTATTCGGAAAAGCATTATGTACGAATATATACTCTACGCAGCATTTCATAGTATATATGTATTCGGAAAAGCATATATGCCCGAATAAATACTGTACGCACCAATTCAAAGGATATATTTATTCGGAAAAGCATTATGTACGAATACATACTGTATGCAGCATTTCATAGTATATATGTATTCGGAAAAGCATATATTTACGAATAAATACTGTACGCAGCAATTCAAAGGATATATGCATTCGGAAAAGCATTATGTACGAATAAATACTGTACACAGCAATTCATGGGACATATGCATTCGGAAAAGCATATGTATACAAATAAATACTGTACGCAGAAATTCATAGGTTATATATATTCGGAGCAGCATATATTTTCGAATAAATACTGTACGTAGCTGTTTATAGGATGTATGTATTCGGTACAGTAAATATGTTCGAATGGGTGATTAAAGATTTTGATCGATTGATGTCATTTCTACGGCTTATCAAATCATTTTACAGGTTATTTAAAGCCATAAAATATTTTTAGGTTATAATTTTTTTCATTTGAGATAAAAAAAAACTTCCGGGTAAAAGTCTTAATAATTAACCTATACATGGGAGAAAACAGATGGATTCCTCTCTTTCCGAACGGTATTTGCGTGTATGTGTATATAACTAGCCTGACTGGAATTGGTACTCGGCTCTCCAGTTAACAATTCTGAGCCCTTTTCCATTAGACCAAACGCACGTTCAAGTTTACAACACCTGGTATTCATAAGCGGTTACTCCTTTAGATACTGACCAGGCTCATCTTTGCTTATTTTCAGTGAACGTGCCTGGTATCTCCACGCGATCACCCATCTAGATATTAATCAGTCTCGAAGTTGCTTAACTTCGTTGATCGTACCTGGTGTTCTTATGTGGTCATCCATCTAGAAACTGACCAGACTCGACGTTGATCGTACCTGGTATTCTCAAGAGGTCACCCATCTAGATACTTACCAGGCTTGAAGTTCCTTAATTTCGGTGATCTTACGAGAACTGGTGCTTTAATGTGATGTGGTCGTAATTTTTTTTCAAGCACAGTTCCCAGTATGGAAACAAACTCCCAACAATTACATTTGCTTTTCCCTTTCTTTTCGGCACCCTACTCCCGTAAAACTAGTAAAAATAAATATCTAAATTAGGATTTTTTACTTTGTGCATGCTCGTCGGTAACAGAAAATTCTCTTAGGGTTGTACAGCAAAGCTGTGTCATCGTGGCACTCATATAGGTTAACCGTCTGTGTTGGCGCATTGGACGGTGAAGCATGATTGGCGGACGTTTCTAGTGAAAGAAGGTGTTATATCACGGAGACACACACATGATCCCAATCTTCATTTAGAGACGTTTGCTCGGCGCCGGGTTATGGGTTTTCAAATAAATTCGATGGTTATTTAGGACATGCCTGTATATATATATATATATATATATATATATATATATATATATATATATATATATATATATATATATATTGTGTATTTAGGCAGCAATTTTTCATTCATGAATGTTTTTCGTTAAATAGCATAGACAATTTTTGTCTATTTGTTTTAAGTAAGTTCCTTTCTTATTGTCTGATAAGCTTAATAACATTATCATTGAAAGAAAAAAGGAAATCACCACATTTATACATGTTTTAATCCTATCTAAGCTTCCGGCTTACATAAGCCATTATCAAAGATGACAGTTACATTTCAATATATCAAACAATAGACGGACAAAACAATAATAATAGTCTGTTTTTTGTTGCATGAAAAATTTCAAAGCTCGTGCATACGAGACGCGGAAGCGAAAATCGCATCGCAGCTCGTGACTTGTCTATATTATTTAATGAAACATATATATATATATATATATATATATATATATATATATATATATATATATATATAATGTGTGTGTGTGTGGGTGTGTGTGTGTGTGTGTATTCCATTCTGTCCACTCTCAGGATATATATATAGGATATATATATATATATATATATATATAATGAATATGCATACACACACGGTATATATATCCTGAAGAGTGGGCGGAATGATTGCTGGAGGTCCGTCTACCGAAATTTAGAGTCGAGATGCTAAAAGTATCACCAATTGCAAAAAAATAGAACGGCTAGTGATAAACGCATATATATATATATATATATATATATATATATATATATATATATATATATATATATATATATATATATATATATATATATATATTATCAAATGGATAAATATAGGTAAATCTTAGGGCAAACTTTCGTATACGAATACATATATTATACGACTTTACAAAAACAACGTTTATTTTTTGTATGAAAATCAGTCATGAAATTAATAAAATTAATGGTATTAATAAAATTAACAACAGACAGTGATAAAATTTATTTAGTAATAAAAGTAACACATAACGATAAAAACAAATAAATAAAATAAAATAAAAATGAAAACATATGAATAATAAATAAATAATTTAAAATATTAATGATAAAAACAAAACACGTTGCTAAGACTAATCTTAAAAGTAAGATAGAAACACTGAAACCATTATTACTGTTTTATCTTACTTATACTGGTGACAGGCTGATTCATGGTTAAAAATAATTGACTGATGTGTACCAAGAAATTACATTTTCAAATACACTTGGGTGCCAATGAGAATGATCTCGAGGGTTGCATTTTTCGCCAATATGATTTAAGTGGATATTTGTAAATATTTGTCTTGTCACGCTAGAGATTTTTGCATATATACGCAACAGTTGCCAAATAAATATTACTCCAAATTTAGTGAAGGTTTTGGATGCTTACTTAGTAGAAATACTAACCAATATTTTTGCATTTAAATGACAGCATTTGTCTAGCGAACAAAAATGCTTTCCAAGAATAAACAACTCGCAAACCTGCAGAGGGACAACGAGTACGCGATGCTTTCCCATACTTCAAGTTAATACAAAATATTGACGCACGTCTCTAGTAAAGTGCCCAGAGTGTCACCCGGATGTACAACCTAAACCAGGAAAGTGATAAACTTCGAACTGCATTAGTCGAGCACATTTAGACTTAGACTCTAGCAACATAGTGTAGGATACTATACTTAATAACTGGCACCCACCTTTTCGGAAGAGACGCGTTGATAACGGGTATTGTTTAACCAATTCTGCTGTCATTCCCGAACAGGAATACGATGAATGGGACAAGAAAGACAATTCTCGCCCTTATAATGCCTTTAATATACTTTATTTTATTGGACCGGTAAGAACGTCAAGCCTATTCTGTTTAATCATATATGTGACATGATGAGACAAGGCTTGACACCTAGAGTGTGAACCAGTATAAGGTGAGTAGAATTATGTATCATAAGATGTAATCATCATCTGTAGATGGTGAAGAATTCAAAATTACAGGTCCATGTTTAAGCGCAAACAGGATTTACAGTCTATTTATATCTGGTGTTTATAATCTTGGAACCACATTTAATCTTGTACATTTCATCTTGCTTAAATTGGAACAGGTACTTAGACAATTGAGATTTTATACATTTATTTTAATTCACTTCAAACACATATATATATATATATATATATATATATATATATATATATATATATATACGACTAGGCGTGTTAAATATGCCAGAATATATCTGTAGAGAAGAATAATTACTATAAGAGCGCCTTTTAAAATGTTTGAATTTCATGTCACAACACAGCATTTGGCTTCTCTTTAGCATCTCTAGTCTTGATCTGTCGAAACGCATCGCTAGGAATAAGTACTATTTCTTGTGTGTATATATATATATATATATATATATATATATATATATATATATATATATATATATATATATATGAATAAAAACTTAGCCGATGCTTTTCATTCTCTGATGGATTTTATCAAGCCAAAGGAAGGATTTATATTATTACAAGGAAATATATATGTATATAACTAGTTGTCACAATTAAATTTGCCTTCATAAAGTCCCTGAGATGACGAAATGCGTCGGCTAAAATGTTTTTCTTTTTCTTTATTCATATTGCCCTTTTACAGAGATAAATATATATATATATATATATATATATATATATATATATATATATATATATATATATATATATTGCTGGAGGCAATCGTCAGAGCCACTTATATATATATATATATATATATATATATATATATATATATATATTAGAAATGGACAAAGCCCGACAATTTATTTATTAAAGACATTTTTTTTATGTTTAACGTTCTTTTTTATAGATACAAGTATTTAAGTAAATGTTATTTAATACTGTTTATTATAAACAGAGCATTTACTTAAATACTTGTATCTATAAAAAAGAACGTTAAATATAAAAAAATGTCTTTAAAATATATATATATATATATATATATATATATATATATATATATACGTACACATTACTAATAAAAAACACGGAGACGTTTATAATTTTTAATTCGTTAAAATCGATATGTCCAACTAATCAGAACGATATCTCCTCCGCAAATGGAGAAAGTATACGGGACAGACACATTAGATTGGTAGTTTGGGGAGGGGGAGAGAAGGGATGAATAAAGATAGGACTAAGAGAATAGTAGTTAGTAGTAGTCGGTTTCCTCAGGCAAGAATTTACTCTATAGCTTTTAGATTTGAATAGTTTGTTTGTATGCTACATTGCCCGAAACTTTTTTTCCGTTTTTAGGCAGGATAAATCAGTTGGATTCAAGTTTATTTAATTAAAGGAATATTAATCTAAATAAAGTTCGGTATAAATATAATAATACTTGTTTGTGTTTGCATTTTAGGCCGAAGTCTGATAGTCAGTGGAGATATCTTTTTGAATGGAACGCAAGAGGGAGATATATAAGTAACGGTAGGCCCGGCAAAGAAAGGGTGAAAAGAAAAATCTGGATAGTTTTAGCCTTAGCAGCCTGACCTGCTTAGATATTTCTTAATATTTAGAACTATGTTAATGGGTTTATATAGTAGGTTGTTTGGCATTAGGTGTTATGAATAGTCCATAGTAAAATTAATAATTAAAAATCACAATAATATTATCAGATACAATACAGTAAATAACTTTAGAGAATTAAGAAGCGAATAGAAATTCAAAAACAAATACCAACCTTAAGGAAAAAGAGTAAAAGTTATGGAGTATGACAATGCTACAAGATATGAGTTTGGAAATATGGGCAAGGTGTTCAACGGCATGACAGTTTTAGGTCCAACCATGTATGTATATGTTCGCAAAAAGTAACCAGGTCGTGTATTATTTAATATCACGTACGCACGTGTCCAAATCTACATATATACACATGAGTGTACACACATATATGCTACTATTCTATCAACGAACCAACACTTCACGTGTCATCTTCCCAAAATCCATGCGGTAAGCGTTGTTAGAGGATTTTAAATTCGTTTTTATGCCTACTCTTGAAGATAAACTCGTTTCGTTGGTTTAGTAATTTGTGTACTTGAATATTGCGATATTTTTCTGTATAGACAGATCGCATCTGTCCCGGAATGTTTTGGGAGTTCTGAACTGATAGTGGTTTTCCCATTTGATTATTAGGGTGAGGTTATTATCACGAATTTTCTAATAATGCTTGGATGGAGCCATTCGGTTACTCAGATTAATATTTGAGAAGGAATGTCAGTGGTTATATAGCCTTTGTTTCCAATTTCCGGCGGATATTCCTATGTATGTCTTTGCCTCTGGTGTTTTTTCCCGGGATAATCGTAGCTTGGTATACAACGTTTCCCAAATTACAGGTGCCTTCGACTGGGCAAATGGTTTCGGTTTTACAATTTCAAGATGGTTTTACCCTTGCATTAGCAGTCTTGGAATGCTTTTAATATTTAGCTGTTGTGTGTACTAATAATGTTCTGTGTGTTTCTCGTGCAGGAATAGCTAATTTTGAGAGTTTTTTTGTTAAATATTTTCTACATATTTAAAAAAAAGAATCGCTCTACAGAAAATATTTAACAGAAAAAAAATTAGTAAAATCAAATATTAACCTGAGAAACGAAACTGTTCTATTCAAGTATTATTGGAAAATTAGATAATAGGATGGTTCGTATTATTGACTCTAAACGTTCGTTAAAGTATTCTTTGATCGCGTCGTCAGAAACTAGGCGAGGTGCATAGATGGAGATGAAAATCAGGAAATTACCATGGTTGATAGCAATGGGGATGAGGATATGCTGCATCATGAGTTTGTCCTTGGATCCGATTTAACTGCTGTTTCCTTCGGCAAGTCTGATTTCACTCA